TCTAATCCAACCACTCCTCATTGTACAGAGAACAGGATCCATTACTAGAGAATCTTTGACAAATAACCACTTTTTTCTTCTCCACAATCATGATATCCAGGGTATTGTGTTCCAAAACTTTGTCAGTCTGTATTCGGAAGTCCCACAGTAGTTTTGCATGCTCATTTTTGATCACTTTTTCAGGCTTATGATCCCACCAGTTCTTTGCTATAGGCAGATGGTAGTTGTGACACAAGTTCCAGTGGACCATCTGAGCAACTGTGTTGTGGCATTGTTTGTAGTCAGTCTGAGCAATTATCTTGCAACATCTCAGAATGTGATCGATGGTTTCGTCCGCTTCTTTGCAGAGTCTGCATTTGGGGTCATCAGCTGATTTTTCTATTCTGGCTTTGATTGCATTCATTCTGATGGCTTGTTCTTGGGCTGCAAGAATCAGGCCTTCTGTTTCTTTCTTCAGTGTTCCATTGGTCAACCATAACCAGGTCTTTTCCTTATCTACTTTTCCTTGGATCTTTTCAAGGAACATGCAGTGCTTTGTTACACCAGCTATCACCCCGAGTTTGCATCACTGTTTTGATCCTTGGTTTGTTGCACTTTGCGCAGCTTCCTATTGTTGAGCTCCATCAAAACTGGTTCAACACTGTCTTTCACATAATCTGCCAGAGCATGTTTCTCTTCTTCGACTGTCTGCTTCACTTGCAAAAGTCCTGTGCCACCTGCTTTTCTGGGCAAATATAGCCTGTCAATATTGCTATGTGGGTGCAGTGCATAGTGTATGGTCATCAGTTTTCTCATTTTTCTATCCAGGCTGTCCAGCTCTGCCTGTGTCCAGTTTACAATCCCAGCAATATATCTGATGATGGGTATGGCCCAGGTATTTATAGCCTTCATGGTTTTACTGGCATTCAGTTTGCTTTTTAGAAGTTTTTTGACCCTTTGTGTATATTCTTTGCTGACCACATTTTTCACTTGCCCATGCTTGATATTGTCCAGTGGCAGTATGCCCAGGTATTTGTAGGCTTCGGGTTGGTGGCACTTGATGGCTTGTCCATTGGGAATTTCGATTCCATCATTTTCTACAATCTTCCCTTTCTTCAGTGCCACTGTGGCGCATTTATCCAGGCCGAACTCTATGCTGATGTCAGTGCTGAAAATTTGAACTGTATTCGTCAGTGACTGGATTTCGATTTCTGATTTTCCATATAACTTCAGATCATCCATGTACAGCAGGTGAGAGATTTTCTGTGAATTTTTAGCAGTTTGATAACCCAGGTTAGTTTTCTGTAAAATTATTGACAGTGGGGTCATGGTGATGATGAACAGCAGAGGTGACAAAGAATCACCCTGGAAAATCCCTCTTTTGATGTTGACCAGTCTGTAGCTTTCACTTCCAATAAACAGTTCTGTTTTCCAGTACTTCATCGTATTTGCAGTGAAAGTACCAAAAGTAACTGGCTATACTTCTGTATCTTCCGCCTGATGGTAAAAGTGAGAAAAGACACTGACCAGGATGTGGATCGTCCCTAGGTATTTTCCTTACTCTGCTGAAACAACGAGGCCTGGTGATGTCATCCAGTGGTGTTAGGGTCAACCAATGGTTTTTGTGCAGAATTTATCACTCTCTGTAGTGCCTTCCTGTCCGCAGCTGTTGAACCAGCTTTCCATACTGTTATACAGTATGTAAGGATACTTTCTATTGTGGATTGATAGAAAAAGGTCATCAACCATTGTTCCACCTGATTTTTCTGCAGGACTCTAAGGAAGTGAAGTCTCTGTTGAGCCTTCCTAACCACCAGGGATGTGTTGTATTTCCATGTGAGGTCTTGAGTAATGAGCACTCCCAAGAATTTAAAAGAGGAAACCCTCTCCACCCTCTCCCCCCCCTTGATATACAGTAGGGCAAGTTCCTCTCTGTGCTTCCAGAAATCCAGGACCATCTCCTTTTTCTTGCTAGAGTTTAAATGTAAGTTGTTTTTTAAACACCACGTGGATAGCTTCTGGACTTCTTCCCTGTATGCTGATTTGTCCCTTCCAGCTATAAGACCCAGCACCATTGTATCACCTGCAAACTTTATTATGATATTGGATTGATCAAAGGATATGCAGTCATGTGTATACAGTGAGTACAGTAGGGGCTGAGTACACAGCTTTGAGGGGAGCCTGTGCTGAGCTTCAGGGTGAAGGATGTAAAGGACCAACCCTAACTATTTATGAATGGTCCGTCAGGAAGTCTTTAACCCAGTTCACAAGTGAGGGGAGGGAAATTCAGGTCAGTCAGCTTTTCAATGAGGGTGCCTGGTAAGATAGTATTAAAGGCCAAGCTATAGTCTATAAACACATTCTGACATAATTCACAGATTTTTCAAGGTGTCTCAATGCAGTATGCAGAGCATTGGCGACGGTATCCTCTGTCGACCTGTTGCTTCTATAAGCAAACTGATGTTGATCGAAATTCAATGGAAGACAGGACCTGAGGTGTTGTAAGACCAGTCTCTCAAAGCACTTCATCACTGTAGACATCAGTGCAATGGGTCTATAGTCATTCAGGCTGTTTATAGCAGTTTTCTTTGAAACTGCTTTCAAGCATGATGGAACTCTGGCCAATTGTAGGGAGATGTTAAAGATCCTTGTCAGGAACCCTGTTAATTGGTCAAGGGAAGTACTTATTGGTTGTTAAGGTGCATGGTATTTTCCTAATTTCAGATACTGTTTTTAGATTAAGACTAATGAATTTAATTATTCCCGCAAACTGAGATCACTTTTTGATAGATATAGGTGCACATACACATAGTTTTCTTGCCAGCATTTTGGAACAGGTTTTCTTTTTTAAAATCTTGGTTGGACACACAGTTGGACTACACTGGTGATCTCATAAACAATTACCTCATAAACAAGGTATTTAGCTCTGGAGTATCAGACAAGGGGTAAATAGATGGGAAAGCTCCACAAATCAATAAATCAGCTGAATGGCGTAATTTGATTGAAAGGAATCCCCTACCTCAACTTAAACTCTTCATGTTCATCTTTCAAAACCTTCTCTTTTGCATATGCTGACATAACTAATGCTAATGAAATAAAAATCCAAACATTATTAATAAATGAGCATTCACCAGGATTAGGGGAAAGATTTGTTCAAGCCATATTTATCACCAATGTAAATTTAACACTTCCTTGATTAATAAGCAAATGAGATGGCAATTATCTCTTTCACTTTTCTGGATGATATGATGCATTTTTTTTTTAAAAAAAGAACTGTTATATGCAAATTATACATTAACACAAGTTAACCTGAAAATGTGAAAATAACATATAGTGACACATTTTATTAAGGAAATGTGTTACAAAAATAGTAAATTAGGTAATAGAATAAAAATAGTTATTAAAAAGAAGTTACCCATTTATTTGAATGTTAGTTAACTAGTTGGTTGAATTCAATAATTAAGTATTTAAATATGAATTTCGGTCTGCTTCTTTTAGATGGCCATCTAAAAGAATATTTTAAAACGTATGAAAATCATCCTAAATAGTTATAGACATGTCATACTCAGAACACCTACTCTCTCTATTAAAAATAAATCATATAACAAAGGCCAAATTTTACATAAGGCGCCTTACACATTGTCAGAGATGAAATATATCATTAAAAAATACCACAGGCTTACATAAATATATATTTGGTCATATACAAGTGTGGATTCAAAAGTGGAAATAACATCTGCAATTTAATAAGAGAAACAACACATCTGAGTCTCGAATGTAAAAGTGTGACCAAGTGATCCGTGTTTCTGTCCAGTTGTTAATAGATTATAGGGTGGTTCAAGATATCCCTTCTGTATCTTGTCAGAAGACAAATATTAATGAATGTAACTGTTATCATCATATTATCTACATGAGATCTAGAATCTGTAGCTTTTAGACTATCCTTGTGTTGATTTAATAATTATTCTAGAAACTGAGCCTCCATGCATAGCATTGAAATGTGCGTGTTAAAAAATATCAGGATGGTGTTCATGATGACACAGTTAAAGTTCCTTCCCTTTTATGTGAATATAAATGGAACAGGTTCATACACATCATCTTGACTTTTTGATTCCCCACCCAATTCAATAGATGTCACTGAAGCTGTGGCTATTGGGCCACTCAGATTCAGAGGTGGTATTCAACCAGTTTGCACCTATTCAGGAGAACCGGTAGTGGTGATTTGGCGTGGGTCGCAGAACTGGTAGCGACCCCTGGCTGGCCATGCCCCCAAACCGGGTCACCTGGTCACCCACTTATCCTGGTCACTGTCCTAGCTTTTCCTACTATGTGGTGGCCATGGCACAGCTCAGGCGGATGTCCCAGGGCTGTTGCACATGTGCACTGCGTGTACAGCTGCTACACATGCAGTACACATGTGCAACAGCCCTGGAACATCCGCCTGCCTGTCTGCCCTCCCGGAGCACATTTTCTGCCTTCTCCCGGCTGACACACCTCTCCCAGCCCAGCCCGGCCCGCCCAGCCAGCAGGTGGGTGGGCGGATGTCCCAGGTTTTCTCGCCACCTTTGTCCCGATATGCCTGCAGCAGCCCCTCTGGCTGGCTGAGCCAGGAGCCGCCGTTCCCAGGCTTCTACTCTCCTGTGCTTGGTCAACGCCTCTTCATCTTGCCTGAAGTGGCTGGTCCTCCTGCCCCTCACCCTCCCCTCTCTTGCCTGGCCTGAGAAGGTAAGGGTGACGGCAGGGGATAGAAAAGTGGCTGGGTCCCTATCTTCCCCTCTCTCTCTCCCACTCTGTGTGTGTTTGTGTGTGTGTGTCTCCCTCAAAGCCACGGCTGGGCTCTCCTTGGTGCTCTTTGCTATTTTCATTTCTTCGTTTTGGAATCCAGACTGGCTGAACAAGGATCACCGGCTGCACTGGAAGCGTCTCTTCGAGCGACCCATCTCCCCTCTCTCCCCACCTCCTTTCACAACTGGCAGCTATGGCAAGGCCAGAAGGATGGTGTGCACACCCAAGGAGGAAAAGGAGGAGGAGAAGGGTCACCCGAAGGGATGCTTCCAATGCGGCTGGCGATCCTTGTTCAGCCAGTCTTGATTCCAAAAAGAAATGAAAATAGCAAAGAGCACCTAGGAAAGCTCAGCCGAGGCTTTGTGGGAGAGACACAGACACACAGAGAGAGAAAGGGGAGGAGAGAGGGGAAGATAGGGAAGAGTGCTTGGCCAGCCGTGGCTTTGAGAGAGAGAGAGAGACAGAGAGAGGGGGAAAAAGAGGGAAAGAGAGAAAAAGAGGGAACGAGAGAGGAAGGGAGAAGGGTCTTCTAGTCCAGCCCTCTGCTCAGGCAAGAAAACTGAGGATGCCAAGTCTGAGTGGAGGGCCAGGCAAAGTTGTCAGAATAATCTTTGGAGGGACCGTATACCAGGGGTCCCCAACCTTAGCATCTTTAAGACTTCTGGACTTCAACTCCCAGAATTCCTCCCAGAATTTTGGGAGTTGAAGTCTACAAGTCTTAAAGTTGTCAAGGTTGCCTGCCCTATACCATTTCAGAGAAATGGCTGTCCACTCTCTTCTTGAAAAACTCCAGTGTTGGAGAAACCAGAACTTCTGAAGTCAAGCCATTCCACTGGTTAATTGTTCTCACTGTTGGAAATTTCTTGTTAGTTTTAGGTTGCTTCTTCTTTGTTCAGTTTCAATCCATTGCTTCTTGTTTTGCCTTCTGCTGCTTTGGAAAATACATTGCCCCCCTTTCTTTGTGACAACCCCTCAAAACCCTATTTTGTGACCTGCCTATCACACTCTTGGACAAAGCATCTGACCCATTTCCTCCTTTCAGTGGTCCATAAAAGTACATCTATAGTATGTGGATGCAGATAATAAAGTCAAAAAAGGTGAAATTTTTTACAGTACTATAGATACATTGAGGCTGGGGATAACAAGGAGTGGCTGGGAGGGGAGGGATTGGGCGAAACACCCCTTGACATGAGTGATGTCGGGTTGGCCATGCCCACCCAGTCACATGGCCACCAAGCCACACCCACCAAATAAGCCACTCCCACAGAACTGGTAGTAAAAAAAAATGAATTCCACCATTGCTCAGATTAGTAGTGTTACCAAATATAGCAAATGATTAAATAAAAAGGAGTTTACTGAAAATATAATTCCTGAGCGGTGCTAAAGAACAATGCTCACTTATTTCAAACATTGCTTGGAAAGTGCAAGGTGACAAGAATCAAGGTGTCTCAAGGTAAAAGTCACAAGTGTGCCTTCTCTAAGTTTGGTGCCCTCTATATATATATATAAAAGAAAATATTAAATAAGTATTGTATTTCTGCCAGGACTGTTTGTATTCCATGTAGGTGTGACATCTGATACTTGTAAACACCTGAGCTTTCATTCTTCACTGAAGGTGAACCGTTGATAATGAAGGCTCAAAAAGCCACTAGAGATGGGGAGCTTTTGCAGGCAAGAAGTGAAGCATTGCAGAAATTAGGGGCCAGGCCTTATTACTAGCATATTACTAAAAAAAAAAATACTATGTAGGACTGTGACAGTAAAATAACTTTCCTGAAAAACTAGAAAGCTATTATCACACATTATAAAGCAAAGATAAGCTAGATTTTTGGATGATCCTTTAATTCCAGCTTTAGCACTTTGCACCTGATTCTAGTCCGTAATGGTCAAAGATCTAAAAACAAAATGAAAAAAAAAAACTACTGCCCTTGAGCTTGAAGTTTGCCTAATACTGCTATAGATGATACTGAGCAAGAGCATAAATTACAATGAGTTATTTTTCCATTATTCCTGTTTCTTTTCTCATTAATCTTACTATTCGTTTAATCAACTTTCGTATCCCAAGGATCTAATCTAAATCTAAACAGTATAGTACTGGCTGGAACTAAGAAGGTTAAAGTCAATATTTCAGTAAGACTCCAAATGGCACTCATTTGGGTAAAGTGCTATTAAAAAAACCCATAATTATAGTAAACAAAGAAATAATGATTTTTCCCTTTTCCCTAACAAAGACGGTATATTAAAGAGTTCTCTGGTTATTAAAAAAAATCAATAGTATTGAGATTTTTTTTTCCATCTGTATGTCTCAAATAAGAATTATAAGAACTACTTTTAGAAATAATGATAACATAAACACTGATAAAGAAAGGTTACAAGTAGGAGGTTAATAATACCTACTCTTCTGTAAAAACAAGATCTTAAGGAGGATTACTTCAGCAGATTTATAAATGCAATAATTTAAATTACTGTGCATCAGATTATTGTCTTCACTGACTTAGTACAGATCTCCAGTATAAGAATGGGAAATATCTGAAGGTTTGGGAGCTGCACCCCAGGCTTCAGACTTTTTAAAGAATACTATACAGTGATGCTCTGAAGCTTGCATCAAGGCATACTTTCTTGCTGACTGTTCATATATCCATGCAGAAATATTCTTGGCTAATAAACTAATAAGAGCTAACAAGGTACTAATAAAAGAAACTTGAGATTAGGGTTAGCAACTAAAATGAATTTAGACGCCTCTGCTATTGACTATTGTTGGTTCAATAACAGTGGGCCATTTTTACACTGCTTAAATATTAGTTGGAGAATTAACTTCAAGGCAGAGAAGGGTGTGCCCCAAGAAGATTGCCGAAGAGCTGAAGAGGAAGTGGCATAGCAGAATATGGCCTTCCTTTCATAGATAACTCTCAAGGACTGTAGATGATTTCGAATAAAAGATTGTACAGTCTTAGAAAAGATAGCTCCTAGTCTGATTGATGGATGGAATTTATCAGTCAGTACCTTTAAGCACTTTTTTGACTTTAGAAACTTACAGGGGGAAATGTATATTAAAATGAAGGAATATCTTACAAATATATAAGCTATTAGAGAAACTTTGAGAAGAAATATTTTACTGCACTTTAAAATCCTGAGTAGCTGTGTTTATGTTTGAATGGGCAATATTCTATTATAAATTATGTTTTCAAAGCTTGACTAGATGCTGAAACTAGATACTGTTTGCTAAATAAAAGGAAAAAAAATGTTCTAAAGTGGTATTTTGTACTGCAAATCCTGAGCATCCACAGAAAGCCACAGGTACACTCTGACATTTGAAACTTTTTTATTTGTTTTTGGTCCTTGGGGAGGCAGAGTTTAATGGGGATGGGAACAGGAGCTTCCTGGAAGAAGCCTCTCTAATTTCTATACAGATAATCCTCAATTTATGACCACAATTGAGATGAAACTTTTTGCTGCTAAGTGAAACATTTGTTAAGTGAATTTTGCCCTATTTTACAACTTTTCGTGCCACAGTTGTTAAGGGAACCATCATAAATACATATCAGTTGCCAAGTGGCTGAATTTTGATCACGTGACTGTACAGATGCTACAGTGGTCGTAAGTGTGACAAAGGGTCCTAAGTCATTTTTTTGGTGATGTTGTAACTTTGAATGCTCACTAAATGAACTATTGTAAGTTGAGGACTAGGTAAAGGCTTCTCCTCACACATACGTACTAGTCTTTTCCGGGGGGCGGTGCTCAACTCCGTTACAAAACCAAAGAGTCAGTATTGTACGAAGATGTCTCTGTGTTCATGTGGCCAGCATGACTAAACACTGAAGGCGCAGGGAACACTGTTACCTTCCCACCAAAGTGGTCCCTATTTTTCTACTTGCATTTTTACATGCTTTCAAACTGCCAGGTTGGCAGAAAGTAACGGGAGTTCACTCCCAGGGGTGAGATTCTACAGGTTCGCACCTATTTGCTAGAACCAGTTGTTAACATTCCAAGCAGTTCAGAGAACTGGTTGTTAGAAGAAATTACTGGCCTAATCCTGTAAGGAAAGCAGGAAGGAAGCATTCTGGTGTTGCTTATAGAAACTGCCTCTCCGTTAACCCTTATTACATTCTTGGAAGGACTACAATTCCTGTCTCAGGAATGTCTCTGGAGTTTTTTTTCCCCTCCTTTGCTGGTACTTTGCTTGTGTGGAGTGACCATTCAAAGTTATAATGGCACTGAAAAAAGTGACTTATGACCATTTTTCACACTTACGACTATTGCAGCATCCCCACAAGCACGAGAGGCCAGACGAGGAGATGCGTGCCTAGATGTGAGTGATGTTGAGTTGGCCACGCCCAGCCAGTCACATTACCACCAAGCCACACCCACCATCTAAGCCATGCCCACAGAACCGGTTGTTAAAAAAATTGAATCCCACCCCTGTTCACTCCGTTACGCGGCATTAGGGATTCGAATCGCCAAAATGCCAACCTTTCTGATCGACAAGCTCAACGTCTTAGCCACTGAGCCACCGAGCCACCATGCCCCTCAAGTTGAGGACTACTTGTACTTAAAAGTAACCCCATCCCCCCCACCAAAACCCCAATCCACCTGCCCATTGGAGGGTTGTTCACAAGAATGGGAATGAGATGTCTTTTAGATGCTAGAAAACCTTCTCCATTTTCCCATTTAAAACCATTCCTCTCACCCCATTTTTCGGTCCATTTGTTTGCAGAAGGCAGAGGTTCTTCATATTACCTTCTACTTGATCATATATAAGTAGAAATGCTAGAGATTGGGTTTGAGATGAAATGCATCAACACTTGTTTTACTATTGAAAAAAAAATCAATATACTGTCATCTTTCACTGAACACCCAGACTGAGTGTGATTTTTGGAGGCATAAACCTAAATATTACAGAAAAATATCAGAGATAGCCATAAAAGGAATTCTTTTATTTAGAATGCACAACTGAAATACATTTTTAAGCGAAGTAACTGTTTTAGTATTGAAATTCACTTTTCACCTTTCTGCTCAGGTTTTTATCAGCAATTTTAGTCACCTTGGTGGATCTGTGATAGCACAAATGCATTTTTTCTCTTTATTCTGAGAGTTAGCTGATATGCTGCTATTGCTACTGACACAATTTTGCATGAAGTGTCTCATTAAAACACTGCAGCAAAACTTCCTTAAATGAACATTTAAAATTTCAAGAAGAAGAAATGACCACTCCTATGAAAAATTTATGGATTTGGAATTTCATAGTTTTTCTAGTCTCCTTAATTCCACCCTATGCTTTTATTAAAAATAGAATATTGCAGAAAAAGAAAATACAATTGCTTGATTATTGGAATAATTATGTTATTAGAACAGTTCAGAGGCGGTTTTCAGTAGGTTCTGACCAGTTCTGGAGAACCGGTAGTGGAAATTTTGAGTAGTTTGGAGAACTGGCAAATATCACCTCTGACTGGCCCTTCCCCCATCTATTCTCTGCCTCCCGAGTCCCAGCTGATCGGCTCGGTCTTCTTTTGTTGCATGCACAGGAGAACAGAGCTGGAAAGCAGGTAAGTGGGGTGGGGAGGGAATGGAGATTTTGCAGTAACCTTTCCTCAGGAATAGGGAGTGAATGGGGATTTTGCATTATCCTTCCCCTGCCATGCCCACAAAGCCATGCCTACAAAACCACACCAAGCCCACAAAGCCACGCCCACAGAGCCGGTAGTAAAAAATGTTTGAATCCCACCACTGGAGCAGTTCAGATTTAGTGATATTTTACTGATCACTAGCTTTTCTCACCATATTCAAACATATTCAAATAGTCTTTAGGGATCTCTGAGCTTATTAGGGATTCTTCAAGTAACCAGTAATAATGGAGCTTTTGTGAAAGTTATGCTTTATTTTATTTATTTAGAGAATTTATATAGCTGCCTACTTGTTCATAGTGACTCTAGCTGGTTTAGAAGAAATAAACACAGTATAAAATAAATAAATTATTATTATTATTATTATTATTATTATTATTATTATTATTATTAT